AACGTGCAGCAACATCTTGGGGCGGTATGTAACAATCTCCCGTCCGGGTCAGGGTTCCTAGATGACGCCATTCCCTTGGAACGGTATTCATCTATTTTTTGTTTGATACTCCCGAGGGTTCGCAGTGACTTGACAGTTACAAAAAAAGGAAATATTCCAAAGCAAACAGTAATTACAGCAGTAGCCAATGGGAAAAAAGACAAATTAGAAACAATATCTTTTTTGCTTCATATCTCTAGAACGATATCCCGCGATCTGTGTCGCGCCTTAAGCCTAGTAAGCCTGCTCCTGCCTAAAAAAATCCAACAAACAATCTTATACATAAAGCTAAACGTGTGTCTGTCTGTCTGTCTGTCTGTCTGTGTGTACGTATGTGCGGAATAGAAACTTTTATTTCTGAACCGATTTGGACCAAACTTGGTACACATATACATCGGGGCAGGGAGCGTGTCATAGGCTACTTTTCGTTATCGATCGATATCGATTTTATCGATTTTTTGCAAAATTTGAGCTACAGGGCTGGGAGTTGGCACAGGGGGTAATCGAGCATGCTGATTACAAATATATTATTGACAGGCCCGGGCGGAGCCGGGTCTGCCAACTAGTCGGACTATAAGCAAAACTCTGACAACAACAGCTTGAAGCCCAGACTTTGTTCAAATTATGCAAAACGGAATTATAACTTGAACCCATCCACATTTTGAATGTGTACGAGCTCAAATGGTAGACCCAACTTGTTATTTTCTTCGTATTTTATAATAAAAAAGGAGGAGGCTTACCGAATGAGCAAAACGAACGTCCGGAGGTCGAAATGGATAATCGCCTGTCATGTCGATATTCACAGTCATCACTTTGTGAGCAAAAAGTGGATGATCCTGAATATTGATGATGTATTTCTACGTACATATCTACCTTGTGTGAGCTCACAGATTTGAACTTCACGTTGTACGTTTCTCGGTTACCAACTTTGGCGACAGAAACAATAAACTTTTTTCCAGAAAGTTCAGCAACTTCCTCAAATCAATGCTTGATTTTCAAGAACATAAGATTCTAAATGCAGATTTTTATTTGAATGTTGTGCATTATCTGACTAGGGCACGTATAGTCCACATGCTCCACTGAAAGATCAGGCAATATAAAGTAAAACACAAAGCGGACAACAACATTGCGCTTTGTTCTCTTCCTAAGCTGTCTAGAAGAAGATTTTTTGAATTGCTATGTAAGAGTGGAACAAGAGAATGTAACGCCTCAACGCAACTCTACTGTAAACGACTCAAATCTAGATGACTGTGTAAAAGCTCACCAAAAAAGCCAGAGAGAGTGTTTCTTTAGCCACTATCGATCATCTATACTTTTGTACCCGCTGACTACATTAGTAATTTTGTCAAAAAAAACTTATAAAGCGCGTGTGCAGCCACTCCCGCCCCGCAAAAAAATAGGTCTAGAAGATATATCTTTTTATGTCCAACGCTATTACTGAAAGGGCAAATGAATTTTGAAAGTTATGAGTTTTTCTAGTACCGCAGTTCTTGAGCAAGGGTTCGTTGAAGATTTCATTTCGACCCAAGATTTCACTCATCTTTAATCTGCTTGTTTCTGCCGCAGACATGGAATAAAGTACACTACACTTGCAACTTTCTGTTCATCGAAAATCTCAAGATTCGGCTGTTCCTATTGAAAGTATGTTTATTGCATAACTTGGCATGCTGCATGTGCATCTCGCTCCTGTTCAATATACTTGGGTAATTCGATAATTTTTTATCGAATGAATGAATATCGAATAAACTCGAAAATAAAAAATCTCGAATAAACGAATATCGAATAAATTCGGAAAATCAAAAATATCGAATGATTCGTATAGTAGAAGTACATCTGTGCCAAACAGGTTTGTTAGGTGTTCCTTTATTTCCAATCACGGCCTAACGTTTCGACGCCTTTCGTCTTCCTCAGAGGCCTGAAAATGGCTCAAAGTGTTACACGAGAAACGAGGCCATCAAGTACCATCTCCATTCCTGCCAGTTCTCAACCTTCGTTCAACATTCCTACCGCAAAAATTGCTATGCCAGAAGATG